TACTATGACCCAACAGACTAACACCGTTGAAAACAACTTAATACCTAATACCACTTTTAAACAATAAGGCCACTTCTAGTTTTGACTGGAAGGAAAGGTCACGTGATTTGACACACACAAGATGAATTCAAGACCACATTTTATCCTGGCACTTGCTGCAAGCAGGATATTGGGGGGGGCCACGGTTGATTTTAAATGGATTTTTATACATTTAACAGAATATTTAAATATTCAATATTTAACAATAAATCACTTGATGATGTCATCATGACATAAATATTTCAGAATTATCTTCATTTTATACTTATTGCTTGCTGTAAGTTTGACGACAAGCTCCGTGTCAAACTCAGACTTTATTTACGTGGTTTGCAAAATGGCCCTGGTGTCCGTATACAGTGCATTAACAACATATGCTGAGAACGGGAACCACCCAACACGTGCATGTGATCGCTGCACACGTACAGTATCATATGCATGTATGTACAAGAACAGCACACACGGTAAGCTTTTAATTCACGATGCAACTTGCGCTGCCATTTCTACTTTTCTGGAACAAATTTGGAGTATATAATCATTGCTTTTTGATTTTTAAGCATAATCAAAATCACAAGTATTCCAGTACATTTTGAATGTATTTTTAAACAATCTTAAGTTGCAAGTGGCGACTGTATTGTGAAAATATGATCGCATTATGAAGAAGTTGGTCGCATTTGCGACTGATTTAGGCCCAGTTTAAAGCGTTGTTCAAAAAAAATCGGGACCTTCTTTTAACTCGAATTTGGGATAACTCAAATTTTTTGTCCATTCCCCAGAGCTTCAAGGTATCCATATTTTACTGTGCATGTATTTACTTAATCTGGCTCAAAGCGATTCAAAACAATGCAGTTGCAACAGTTGAAAAGAAGAGACAGCAGTACTGAAAAGAAAAAAAGGTGAACATGTTTGGAAGCACATGTAAACAAACACAGGCAATGTAAGTGCCTTCCGTGTAATACGCACTGGACGCGCTGCTATCCACCGTTTCGCCCACTGTTTGCTCATACTTTTCAAAATCTTGGTCATACGCACAAGACTGATGGTATAGGCTTTTATACGTCTATGGATAGACACACTGTGGCTTAGCAATGCTAAAAACAGCTGAATGCAGTTGCCCCCAGCTGGAAACACGTGGCCAGCTGGAATGGGAAGTCTGAAGCGGGCAGTAGGCTGGCAGGGGGTGATAAGGGCAAGACAAATTCTGGGTAGCTGCACATGGGGCTTATAAAAGGGCAAGGCTCGGCCAGCTGGTGAAAGGAGATCTTCTGTGCGCTGTTAATGCATTTGACCTCACTCTCAAGGAGATTAACAAATTGGTCCGCAAAGAGGTCCCTGGCAAACAAAGGGAGACAGACGCATGAGTATGGATTTCATCAACTCGTGCGGGATGTTCTTGGCTTCAATAGATAAATGATTCATGAGTCGCAGTAACTCAAAGAGAAACCAGAGTGAATTGCTCAAGGTCTCTAATCAAGGTGTCAATCAAGGCAATGAAAGGCCATGGTAAACTCAGGAGAAATGTTTGAGTCCTCCTTGTATGCACAGGACAAGAACTCAGTCATGAGGAAGAGAAAGAACATAAAGCAAATACCGATAACGGATGCATGGTCAATCCTTCAGAGACATCTGGAGAGTCTTATCAGTGAAAGGGCTACTAAACTTGTCCTGGCTTAATCTTAGCTTTGGCTGCCTCAGAAGCGTCGGGCACTGAAATATAAGTATCATGATTGCCTGGAGGAAAATTGAAGTAAGAACGAAACTAATTGCTGAAGTACCATGTTTGGCTTTGGCTAGTCTGTCCATGGAATCCATGCATGAACGATCAAGCGGAAGCTCGGGAAGACAGAGGGAGAGGAAGACGACCTCAGTAGGCGATGCTTGAACAAGGGGCAATTTTGATCATTCCGTAGAGGAATGGGAGGGAGGAGTCCCAGAACCTGAATCACCTCGTGCTGGAGAAGGCAAAGGTGGGACTCGAAAGGAGAAAGATTGTTCACAGAAATAGGCTCCTCCTCATCAGGAGACTGATCTGAGTCAGAGACTGGCCTGAGTCAGAGACATGCAAAGGTGGGTCAGGACCAGTGGCAGGATCAAGGGAATGGCTCTCAGCAGATGCCAGCTGAGACAGCACAGGAGACAGTGAGAAATCATGCTGTCCAGTATAAGACGCGGAATGCACCAGGGGGAAAATAAGGGTCTAGATCCAGATGAGTAGCAGCCGGAGGATGAGAATAATGCTGAGTAAGTGCTGATATAGATTCTGTGAGAGCACACAACATGCCCAAGCTTTGCCATGGGCCCCGTCCCAGCCACCGAAGTGTGGGAAGAATCCCGACTGGAACAGGCACGGGCAGGAGCCATCGCCTTCTTAGTCACGGTAGCTGGGTGAGAAGCCATAGCAGAGGCCACCAAGAAGAGCGAGTAATGATTATGTAAAGGATGAGAAACACCAGGCGGTATACATACCACAAGGTCAGATGGCTTGTGCCCAGTCAAACCTGGCCGTGGGCCACCCGAAGGGTACATATATGGTCTCGATTAGCAATGGAGCTCTTGCAGCAACGCTAGACTACATGGGCTGCTACGGTACATGGGAAGAGCGGAGTGGCTACGACCGAGGACCTTGAACTGCAGCAAGTGGCTTGGTGAGCAGCGGGGTTGCCCAGCAAGCTGTGGGAAGGAATCTCTCAATAATGGAAGATCGCAATATGTCAGTGACATTAGGGCTGGGTCAATTTAAATAACTCACTATTCGAATATCCGACTTACAATTTGATTGATTATCCAAACATTCGTTTGTACCAACCTGCAGATTATTTATGAACAAATCATACAAAATCGGTTGCAATAATGCACAAAATTGTACAACATAATAGCTTCTCAAAGCTAGGAGTATCTCCAGCCATGATTAAGCAAGATTTAAATTAGGAGATGAATAATATTTCTAGCCCTGTTCGTAAGGGCTAGAAATTGTAAGATTTCTGTCACTTTTCATTTGAATCTGCTTGACACAAACCTCTATGTTAAGCAATTTTTCTCATTTAAAACAAAAGAAAAATTTTCACTTTCTTTTCATGAATTTGGCATTTGAATATTCTTATTCAAAAAAGATATTCGAATATTTAATAACCGATCAAATACTCGGTTATTCAGCACAGCCCAAAGGGATGTGAGTGAGAAGCGAGGTGGAAGCAAAAATTCTCCCCAAACTGGAATCTAATACAGAGAAGTACGGGAAGAAGGCAGCAACATGCCCACAAAATTAACAAGTTATATACATACATGTGTATGTAAGGTACAGTGTGGCTTTATTGAGTGCAATGTTAGTACTTTAAAAAATAAAAGGAACCCACGGATCCTTAGTATGATCAATTCTTGCGGTCGGAGGTTGATTCATTCATTGCACTCGAGGCTGCAAGGGGCATTACCCTCCATTTACTTGGTACAGGGATTCGCCTGTTGACTATAATTTTTGCTGCATCGTGATAAAAATAATTGAAACCTGTATGGTACAATGTGGGAGATATTTACCGTGCATAAAAAGTAAAATATCTGGCATATTTGATGGAAAGGATAAGCCTTTAGTAGGCCTAAATTAAAAGATTTTCCCCGTACACCACATTTTTAGAGAGTGAAATGTTAAAAGCCAATAACTGACCATACACAAGAGAAGAATCAAGACTCGGTAATGTCATCCCCACCACGAATATGTTTATTGTGTGCATGTATGCGACAAGCGACGGAACATGCACGAAATAGATCAGAATTCCTGATCCTGGGAATACAATGCTCGAAAAATAGTAAAGTATACGTACATGTAGGACCTACATGTACAAAAGCCCCACTCAGTATAGCTGTGGGCCTATGTAAATGAAAAATCTGACACAAACTTTGACAGAATATTTACTATATTTAACCTTATTACTGATAATCTCATTCTCAAAAATTGCGGAAGAACAAAATAAAAACTAAAATGGTCTTGGTCGGCATGAAATCACTGTCAATAAATTATGTACAGAAATTCCCGGATGTTCCAACCCAAGAATTACAGCCAAAAACAAAGATTTCTTCAAAAGAATACTAAATAATATTTAAAACCATTTCATGTTTAAGAAAAAACCTTTTGGGGTACCTTTGACTCCAACCTGTCAGCACTTCGCTGAAATTGCTTCGCACGTCCAAAGCCGTGTGTGCTGGCGCAGCGTCTGGGCCAGCCGGTATATGATCTCAACGCGTACGCGTGGTTCAGCCTGTCGCAAGGCCGGCAAGGCAAGGCTAGAAAACATATACGACAAGCGAAACTAAAGTTGGGACAGCCCAACTACAAGACTACAGTTGGGACAGTCCCAACTATAGTTAGTTATACTACGCTATACTGTAGTTGGGGCGTAACACTAACAGTAATAACAAGAGGGGATTTCTAAGAACTAGCCCCACTAGTGTGGCACGGACTCTCACTCCCGATCCATCCTTAGCCACACATCCGTATGCACAATTTCGTGTCGGCGTACTGAACATTTTTGGCGCACCCACTTATAATCGTGGGCGCAATTTCTTTTGCACACGAACATGATTCTTGACCTTCAGTTTTCTAAATACCATTTGTTGAATGATTTCACTCAC